ATATTCATTTTTATAATAACTTTATCGATTTGTAGCCGATTTAGTAAGACTGCATATGCTAAACTCAAATTCATTTTTTTATTCGATTACAGGCATATCGGGATTATATAGGGCCATATCTCAGCTTATATTTACATGTATATCCACGGCGTCTGGCTAAATCGGTTTGTGGCATGACGTATATCATATCACATGTATCACCCTAGATCCCTACCAGTTCCTCAATAGTTCTAGGAGAATTCCAGGAGTTGGCGAGTTTCCCGGCTTTTTTCTCATAAATTCGAAAAAATGATGAAATGATAGCCTATCATTCTCACCTCGCAGATTGATAGATCAAGGGGGAATCATGAGATGATCGGCCAATCAGATTTCGGATTTTTTCTTTAGCCGAATAAGCATAACGGGAATTCGGGAAAATGATTACGAATAAAATGCAAATATATTATTTTTTCTGATGGACACACAAGTTAAAAAAATAAATGATAAGTATATACACGTTTTGAATATATTAAAACATGGAAAAACTTCGGCAGGTGTGAACAGGCGATCACATTTGAGTAAAATTTGGCTTATCTAAAATCTGGAAAAATTTCGGTAGCTGTGAACATATGTTCACACTTGAGTAAAAATGGCGCAGTAGATTTCACTGGCCCGCTTTTAAAACTTTAACTATTACGTAGTCAATATCCTCCACGCCTAACCTCGAAATAGTCGACGCAGAAAAAGACTTAATACAATTTATCTTATCCATCCCTCCAACCCATCAAAAAGTTTAAAGATCTTTATTGCCTTTTCCTTCCTTTTTCTAAGATTAGCCTCCGAAGTTTTATCTTGGTCTAGAAAATACTCACGAATTTTATCATTAACAAGAGAATTAGACGTATCATCACTATATGTTTTTTTATAATGGTCAAACCATAACCTATACCCTTTTCCAAAATAGTAATAGCTATGGATCAGCTCTAGAGTAGTTCTTTTATTATCATCTTCGGCTTTGATGATCCTGTCATTTAATTCACGAAAATTAACCGAGTCAATATTCATATCAGGGAACGTTTGCAAAGAAATAGTACCACCAGAAGAAGTTTGTTGGGGAATAGGAGTGGACAATTCCATGATAAGCTTTTTCAAAATAGGCGAATCTTCTCTTCTAACTGGTTTCTTTGCTTTCTTCTTGGATGTAGATAAGTTGACGTTCGTATCTTCGTTGGACGTTTTTTACTGCTGATATCA